ATCTTTTCCAAATGGAAGTTTTTATTGCAGCTACTTATTTTCCTTTCATAATTTCTTTCTTGTATTTTTTCTTATTTATATTAGGTGTCCTGGGGTGGAGAAGCACAAATATGTCTTTAATTTATAATTGGTCATACTGCAGAAGCTGCACACAGACTTGATGGAATAGGCTGCACATTACCTGGAATTTTATTTTATTTTATTTACTTATTTATTTTTTAAAGATGACTGGTAAGGGGATCGTAAACCTTGACTTGGTGCTGTCAGCACCACACTCTCCCAAGTGAGCTAACCGGCCATCCCTATATAGGGATCTGAACCCACGGCCTTGGCGTTATCAGTACCGCACTCTCCCAAGTGAGCCACAGGCCGGCCCTACATCTCCTCCTTTTCTATGAGACTGTTTTCTTAGCATGCATTCCTGGGCCTCTGCCACTCAGCAGATGGCCTGTGATCCCTAAGCTCAGGATTTATATTGCCAAACTGCCTTCCAGTAGGACTGAGCTACAGCAGGAGCCCCCGGTCCCCATGCCAGCCACTTATGTGGTCATGGGGCAGCTGGCTGTTTGCATTTATTTAACTGGGCATCACTCTCTGAGACTGCAGTGACTTGGCTTCTTTCAGATCCGCAAGGATGCTCTCCGAGCGCTCAACATTGCGTACACCGTGAGCACCCAGCGGTCCACTGTCTTTCCTCTGGACGGCGTAGTGCGCATGCTGCTGTTCAGAGACAGTGAAGAGGCAGCAGACTTCCTCAGCCACCACGGTCTCGCTGTCTCTGATGGGTAAGAACTGAGAGTGGAGCTGTGGGCTCTGTCTCCTTTTTTCTTTTTTAATTCTGATGAAGGGCTGCGAAGTGCACGGTGCTTGCCGGGCCTGGGAAGAGCATGTTCCATGTGCTGTCTTCCCAGTGTGCAGGCGAATACATGGAGGCTCAGAATGGCTGGGGAATGTCCCCAAGGTCACACTCTGGTGGTCAGCAGATTGAGGTTCAGACCAAGTTCTTTGTGACTCCAAAATCACTGCTTTTCACGAGTTACCAAGGAAACTAAGGGTAAAGGCTAGGACCTTCTTTATTCTGTCCCTTGAGGATTACCTTTGGGACTTGTGACAGGCCACTGCCCACCTCTGAGGGCCAAGATGCAAGCTCAGGTGAGCCAGGCCAGGGCCTTCTCTACTTTGCAGTCAGAGCGTATTGAGACCATGATGAAACTCATGGACCCTCTCCCAGGCACATTATACTCCACACTCGCATTGCGGTCTCCCCAGCCCCTCCCTGCTGTAACTCCCAGCGAGCATGCCCAGTGTGTGTTGCTGCAACTCGTGGCTGTTACACACCAGGCCAGCTGGTTCCGTGCAGTCATAGAGAAGCTCCAGGTCTGGCAGCAGTGGGTGCCTTTTCCTTCCCTCCTTGTTTACATATAGCCTGTGGTGACTCAAGATGGGGTTTGTTCTTTAACCCGGGGGCTTCTGGCACTGCAGCTGGGCATCGAGAAGGCAAAGCTGACATCTCTCTGGTGACACCTGTCTGTGGGCTCTTTGTGGTCTTGGTAGCTACGTCGAGCTGAACCGGTCTGCATTCCTGGAACCGGAGGGATTATCCAAGGCCAGGAAGTCAGTGTTTGTTACCAGGAAGCTGACGGTGTCAGTTGGAGAAATCGTGAATGGAGGGCCGTTGCCCCCCGTCCCTCGTCCCATTCCTGTGTGCAGCTTCAATGCTCAGAACAAGCACATTGGGGAATTAAGTTCCATGAAAAACTATTTCATGTTTTTTTAATTGCATTGAATCTACAGATTGCATTGAATCTATAGATCAATGTAGAGATCATTGATATCTATAAAATAGCATGTCTCTCCATAGCTGACCATCTAGTTAGTTTTCTTCAATATTTTAACAAATCTTTATTATCTTTTTCCATATAGAACTTGTCCAACTTTTTATTCAAGCAAACAAATAGGCTTTCACTATTCACAAGTATGACTTTTATTGGTTTTCTAAGAGGTTTTGGCATGATTATTTTATGCTAGATATTTGTTGACATTGTAATTATTGGTCTAATAGCCTCATGTTTGGCAAACCAATCTTGGAGTGATGTTTTTCAGAAAGACTCTGAAATGTTTACTTTATTCTACATATTATCATCATCATAAAACTTTTAAAACATATCTAGAAAGTGATGTTTGTGTAACACAGATTTCATACCATGGTAGCTAACATCACAATCATCAAATTCAACATCAAATATTTAACCTTTAACTTTCTTGTTTATCTCTTCCTGATTTTAGGGACCACCTAGTCTGTTTTACACTTGTGAGGACTATTTAGTACTAGCAGAAAGAAAAGATTTTCCTATTGTCCTCTCCAATATCCGTATAGATATCCAGTAACTTTTAATAAGTGGCATAATTAAAAAACAGACCATTTCCTGGCCGTCTATTTCTTTAGGTGAGTTCTAGGAGTTAGTAGAACATTTGAGGATAAAATTGAACCAAGAAAAGAAAAACTACAGGCAAAACTAACTTTCGTCCAAATTAAGCAATTAGTTAACTCAGAAAATAAAAGTGATC